AATTAATACCACTATACAAAACATAATTCTGAAAAGTCAAGGCATCAGACAATGAAAGAACTGTACAGTGATGAGTCCAACCAGGAAGATTTTTATGAATTTTGTAGGCCCTGTTGTAGACCCTAACTATGGGTTCTAAGATTTCATTTGTTGTAATAGACCAAACAGGTAAACAGTATGACATGGTTGAGAGATTAATGGCATGAAGATAGATATTTGAAACAGAAGATGTCAGATTGGATCTAATTTTTGAGTAAACGTATAATTTCTGTTTCAACTTTGTGGTTAAGACTTGTACATGATCACGATAAGTCAAATGAGAATCCAAAGTAATTCCAAGATATTTGTAGGTAGTCACAATATCAAGGGGTTTGTTTAAAAAAGTGAGTTGATTTGTTATATTGAAATGTCTCCTGGGTGAATAAACTGAAATCTTTAGCTTTTCCAGCAGCAGAATCATTTGTCAATCTCTTTAAAATGTGTTTATGAGCCAGTTTTATTAGAGAATTATATCTGACTAACCTTTATGATGTTCTCTAAATTTGAATTTATATCAATAAATAACCTGTATGGTTAGCTGTCATTTTTATACACAGTGAAAATATCTGGCAGACAGCAACCAGCTAACAGTTAGCTTTGATGCTAACGTACTTGCGGAGTGGTGCTTATTTTTTAACCTTTAACAATTCATTTAAATGAAAACTGAAGAATCGACAATAAATACAATAAAATGATCAAAAAGAGATACAAAACAATGTATTTAAAATTACTGATTCAAAACCATTATAATATTTGAAATGAGCACAGTTCTGGTTCATCTTTAGCCAATTAAGCCTTGAAGTGAACATTTTATGGTCCTAAAATCAGAGGAAGTTCCAAAGCTTACAGCCGTTAACAAAAGGCTGTGTGTCCAAAGGTTGTCCTCAAAAAGCTTTTTACTCTCATGATTTGTGGTGCTTTATGTGACTCTAGCACTGGTCTGTCTCTCAACAAATGTACTGTATGTAATGGTTCAGGTGCTGAATAATTAATGCATTTATGAAAAGTAAACAAGAATTGATACAGTAAATCTGTCAAAGATCATTAGAATATACAGCGGGTAAAATAAGTATTGAACACGTCACATTTTTCTCAGTAAATATATTACTAGAGGTGCTAATGACATGAAATTTTCACCAGATGTTGGTAACAACCCAAGTGATCCATACATACAGAACATTATTTCACCATAAACC